ACATTCAGTGTATTAACTCTGACAGATTCCTGGCACATGCATGGAATGTTCATAATGTAACTCACGTATGTCCCAGGAATATGCATGCACATCACATGATTGTTCCAGGTATATTCTGGGAATATCATTTTGCTATGTGGGTGTTGAATGTTGAGCCTTCAAGAACATACTTGAAATTAGCGAAGCCAGTGCACTACATTGTGTGGGCTAAAAAACTATGAAGAACTTACCAATTGTTGAAATGTAAGTCTCATAATACCTCTCGTCGCAGAAACGGTGCACTATGCAGGTTTTTCCCACGTTGGAATCCCCCAAAACGAGGATTTTGTAGGTGGCTGCAAAGTCGAGCGCCATTGTTTCACTGCTCTGTCTGGGTCGATAAAGAGTATAAGTTGTGTGCATTTCTCCCTCACAGCTGATCGGGAGTAAATCGATTTCGAAGTGCTGAGAAGAACAAAGGCAACACTTTTCGCCGTGAAGTAGTTAATTTCATAAGATAGCTCAACATATGGACAGATAACTTTTCCCTCCCAGTCTTCTTTGGTATTATCGCGACATTATTTATTTGTTTCAAGATTCATATTTTGATAAAGCTTCAGAGTCCATATTTCATACGCTTTTTGAGTGTCTGTACACTCGTTTGCAGTGTGGTACACGTTGGGCGCCGGGAGCGCACGTAAAGTTTGTAGCAATAGATGCAGACAAGGGCGGATCCAGGGGGGGGCCCCCCCATTCAATTCTCTATCCAACGATGCCAAAACAAATTCTCTGGCTCGAATGGTTCTTGAGAAACTTCGAAAAAAGCCGCGTCATGTTCAAGTGGATTTTGCAACTCAAGAAAACCACGCAAATCTAAAACCTCTTGAATTCAAGCATTTTTTTAAGATAACTGCCAACATTTCCGTATCGATAGTTCATTTTCTAAAAAGGCCATTTATTTCTCTCTAGAATGATGTACAAATGAGCGTTCTTGCTCATTTTGCCTCCGAGATATGAGCAAAAACGGG